TCCCTCTGCATCTCCTGCTGCGCGCACTCGTGCCGACCATCAGAAGGGTCTGAATCCTCCGCCCGAGCCAGCGCAGAAAGAAGAGGAGTGACGAATGCTGGGAGCACACGCAGCTCAGAGGGCCCTGGGGCGGTCACAAACGATGCCATGCGCGGTCACAGACGAGCCCCTGCGCGGCGAGCGCCCCGGCAGAAGCAGCACACATGTCTGCGGACCCCCCGCTGGGGGGAGGCAGGGCCCCTGGCCCGAAGGCGCGCACGCGCAGCAGGGGAAAGCCCTGCGAGGGCACCAACCATCATGTCTGGAGTTGGGACAAATCGGAGGAGGGAAACGGAAGGGGAAGTCAGGGAGGTCGGAGGGCGGCGGTCGAAGAGGGAGGAGGACGAGGAGGGAGGAGGACGAGGAGAGAGGGATGGAGATGAGAGGAGGGAGGGAGAATGAGGGAGGAGAGGGGAGGGGGAGGACTAGAGAAGAGAAGGAGCGGCAGGAGTTGGCGGACGAGAGTGAGGATAAGCAGGAAGAGCAGGAGGACGCAAGGATGGAGATAGGGATCACGTGGAGGAGATTGGCGAGTTGGGGGGAGGATAAAGCGACTCATCCCGTTGACCATGCGCCTTCTCCCACTCCGCGCGACAACAAAGCAAGCGAGCGGCACTTCAGTTCGGTCACGTTACCGCCCTCGTCCTTGACAACCTCGGCGGGGAGCCGAGGAGACTCTCCTTCCCTTTCCCCGGAAAAGGGAAGACGAGCCAGAGCAGGAGGGAGGGGGTGAGGTGGAGGATGACAACGAGGGAACATATATATATATATATATATATGGGGACAGGTGAGGGGGGTGAGATCTTCGTGTAGAACTAACTGCCCCTAGAAACATCACATGTGTTTGACTCATTTGCTGGCATTTCCTGATTTTCCCCCGCCCGTGGCCGCCTCGTGGCCGCCCCGTGAGTAGAGGCCTCCTAGATGGGGTCGGAGTAGATGGGGTCGCAGGATCGCGCCGCATCGCTGATACATCGGCGATGCATCGGTGATGCACTGGCGGTGCATCGTCGACGTCGGCGATGCCTCGGCGCCGTCGGCGTGGAGAAAATCGGACTCCGCATCGAGCCGCATCGTTGATGCACCAGCGATGCGGCGCAACTCTTCGACCCCACCCACTCCGACCCCATCTGGGAGCCCTCGAGTGAGCTGCCCGGCGCGCTTGGAATCTCCGCGTGGTGAGAGGCCGTGGCCGCCCCGTCGCCTCCCCGCGCGGTGGCTGGTACTCCCAGCGCTTCGTCTGGGCGCCCGTGGCCGCCCGCTGCGCTGGCTGGGGTTTTTCCGGGCGCACGCCGGCGGTGCACCACGTGCGGATATGTCCTCTCTCCTGGCAGACTGCTGGCCAGCGTGGACCCCACGCAGTGAGGTGTTGGACCGTGGATGTGTGTGGGTGCTACGGGGCGTGAGCTGTGGTGTGCGATCGGTGTGGTGTGTCGGCGGTGGACAGGCCTCCCTTTCGTAAACCTCCCCTTAGTGAAAACGGCCTGGGACCGAAACCGACGGGCCTGGACCCACAAAAAATGGCAGCCGCGACGCCCTCTCGCAAACCGAAAACGGCCAATTCGCCAATCGAGGTGTCAGGGTAGGAGGTCTATCAACCTCCGAGTGTGAACTGCGAGGTGCAAGCTACGTGGCGTAATATGTACATCTATGAACATATATTTACAGATGTGGTGAACACACATATGTTGTGTGCGGTATGTTGTAAAGGCTATGTGGTGCGATCCATGTGGTATGAACTACGTGGTGTCATCTGTGTGGTGCCGTAGATGTAATACAATATATGTGAGAGAGCGTGATCCACCGCCGCTTTACTGTGGAAAATTCCCCCCCTCTTCCTCCGGAACCCGGGGGTCCCCCCCTTCCTCCCTCCGAAAATGCCCCTCCCCCCCCCCTTGCTGGACCCCCCCCTTTCCTCCCGGCAAAACCCCCTCCCCTCCCCTAACACCCCCCCCCCTCCAGAAAACCCAGGGGGTCACTACCGGTTCGAATCCCCCCCCCCTCGCTCGAAAACCGAAGAGGGTCACTACCGGTTCGAACCCCTCCCCCCCCCAGAGGGGTCACTACCGGTTCAAATCCCCCCCCCTCCGGAAAACCGGGGGGGGGTCATTACCGGTTCGAACCCCCCCCTTCGAAAACCGCGGGGGGTCACTACCGGTTCGAACCCCTCCCCCCCCCTCGAAAACCGATGGGGGTCACTACCGGTTCGAACCCTTCCCCCCCCTCCCACATGCTCACCGCCAGCAAACAACTCTGGGTCCCTACCACCGTCCGCACCACATCCCCCACTGTTGTCCCCAGCACCACTGTCCTCACCACCACTGTCCCCACTGTTCCCGCCACCGTCACCACTGTCCTCACCAGTGCTCCCACCACTGTCGCACTGTCCCCACCACTGTCCCCACCACTGTCCCCACCACGGTTCCACTCCCCACTTTCTCCACGGCCCCAACCACTGTCCCACTTTCCCCACTGTCCCACTGTCCCCGCCGTTGTCCCACTGAGCTGTCCCACTGTTCCCACCAATGTCCCCACTGTCCCCGCCACTGTCCCAACTGTACCTCTGTCCCATTATCCCACCGCCGTCTTCGCCACCGCCCTCACCACTGTCGCCACCACCACTGTACCCTCCACTGTCCCACTGTTTCCACCACATTCCCACTGTCCCCGCACCACCTGTCCCCACCACCAGCGTCCCCACCACTGTCCCACTGCCCCCACTATTCCCACCATTGTCCCCGCTGTCCCCACCAGTCCCCCCGCCAGTGTCTCACTGTCCCCACTCTGAACTACTGTCCCACCACTGTCCTCACCACCGCCTTCACCACTGTCCCCACCACTACCGTGCCCACCACTGTCCCACTGTCCCCGCACCACTGTCCCCACCACCACCGTTCCAACCACTGTCCCCAAATCCCCGCCATTCTCCAACTGTCCCGAAGAGCGGACATCGTTTGCCGGCGGCGAAGGGGGGGGGGGTCCAACCGGTAGTGACCCCCCTCTGTTTTCGAAGGGGGGGAGGGTCCGAACCGGTAGTGACCCTCCCTCGGTTTTCCAGAAGGGGGGGGGGACGGTTCGAACCGGTAGTGACGTCCCCCCTTTTCATGATGGACTGGGGGGGGGGGGGGGGCCTCGAACCAGTAGTGACCCCCCGCCGGTTTTCGATGGGGGGGGGGGGACGTGTCAGGAACCCCCAGTGACCCCTTCCGGCTTTCCGCCAGCAGCGGTAGAACACGCTCTTTCATATATGTGGTGTGAGCTGTGTGGTGCTAGATGGTGCAGCCTGAATATCCCACTGCTCGCGCAATCACCCGCACAATGTTTTGAAACACCCATGCGGGCGCGATTGCGATGACTGCTTGGCCCTGGCTGGCGCATCTCTGCAGCCGCGCTGGCACACGCAACGGTCAGCTGGTTGGGCGCAACCGATGCGGCCGCGACGTCACTTACGGATGGCAACTTCCCGCCGCATCTCGAAGGCCGCGCTGGCGCGCGGGCAGTTCAATGCGGGTCGGTGACTCGGGCGGGCGCGGCTCCATGATGACGTCGGAAAAGGCGGCAAAGATGATGATAGTGCCGACGGTGGCGGCGATGATGACGACGGCGACGGCAAGGCCATTGACGGCGCCTATGACGGCGGCGACGATTGCGATGATGATGATGCTGCTGATGATGATGGTGATGATGATGATGATGATGATGATGATGATGATGATGATGATGATGATGATGATGATGATGATACCGTATGAATGTGTCGGTGACGAAGGTGCTTGGGCGATGCGGGCAGCAATGGCGGCGATAGTCGATGACGTGATGCGGGGGCGCTGATGAGGGCGGTGGCGAGGAAGTGCGCGCGCAGGCATTTCAGAAATCGGACCGACGCCCCTTGAAAGGCACGTTGTTTCTAACGTGTGCTGGGCTGCTTGGGCGTGTCTTGGGGTTCTGGGGAGGCCCTCTCCTCGCCATCGCTCGGACGTCCATTCCCCGTGCATTTACCGCTTTCGCACGTGTTTTTTCGCTCGATGATCCGCGATGCTCCTCGATGGTCCCCGCCGACAAAAAAATGCACACGTCCGAGCGATGCCGAGCTCTCAGGCTTTCTTGGCGCCATCCTGGGTGGTCCTGGGCCGTCTCCTTTGGGCCACGGCGGGCCTCCCCACGGGCGATTCAAGGACGATGTTGGTTCGACCCCCCCTCCGAAACCGCTGTTTGCGCGCGTCCCGAGCGACAAGGCCGTATCTCATCGGTTTTTGGTGCGCGGCTTTTGGGGGGGGGCCGCGGGGGGGCCGAACACGAGCGCAAGACGCTACTACCGCATCGAGTTCGGCGATCGGGGGACCCCAGTGGGCCCGCGCTAAAGGTCACCCCGGCGAAAGGTCACTCTTACGCGCGGCCGATTTCAGAATTCCGCCACCACGTTCCCGGGTGCGCTGCGCAGCCTTTAATTTGAGAAAACATGACCGGAGAGAAACGGGAAGCGTCGTTTTTGTCCGCGAAGCTTGTCACACCGCATCCTGTTGAAAGGCCCCCCAAACTCTGAGACGACGTGCAGACGAACAGCAGAACTGCTGTCGGTTCATTGTGTTGGTCTGCCATGCTCCTGAGGTCTGCCGTGCTCCTGTGGCCTACCGTGCTCTTGGGGTCTGCTGTGCTGCTGTGCCGTGTTGAAAGTGAAAGTGAAAGCCGGGGCCTTAAAGGCTCAAGGGAGTACCCACCACTACACACGGGGAGGTCGCCGCGGCCAGGGGACGGTGGAGGCGGACCAGCCGAACGCGCGACTTGGGCCCCGCACGCTCCACGCCGAGCCCCTCCCCTTTCCGAAGAGCTCCTCGAAGACCCCTCGGACCCGAGTTGAACTCAACGCGAAATCAAACATCAGGCGAGCCGCAAACGTGCACGCTGACAGGGGCAGGAGGCCTGGGTGGGGCATACACGACAAGCAACGCGCTTCAACGGCCTCAGAGCAACTCCTTGGAAGTGGCGACATTCTTTATCCAAAGGTCTGCGGCCGAGCCCTGCTGATGGAACACGAACAGCTGCGTGACCGCGAGGACGACATCGACAGTGCCCATGGCCCGCAGGAGCCCGAATGAGGCGTCGCTGAAGCGCAGGGGCGCGCTGGCCTGCCGCTGGAGCACCTGCACGAGGTCGAAGAAAGCATGCCGCGTGCGAACATCTCCCTCGGCTGGTCTCGACAACGAGGCGGCGGGAACCTGCTCACCGCTTCTGACAGAGCCCGCGGCCCGCTCCAGTCCCGCGCCGAGGGGAGTGCAGACTCCCGAGGGCACGGGGGCCGGAGACCGTGCCACGTCGCGCTCGCGGGCCTTCGCAGCTGCCGTCCCCCTCGAAGACGCTGGAGAAGCCGAGACGCGTGGCGGCGCCGGGTCCTCCGCCATGGGCGTCGAGTGCCGGACCTCCGCCGAGCCGCCCGCGGGCGCGCCACCAGCCGCCGCAGCGGCCCTCGCGCCAAGGCCCCCAGCGCCAGCCGCACCGACATGAGGATCCCCTTGGTCTGCACCAGGCGGCGGGGCTGCGGCCGCTCGAGGAGCCCGAGCCACTGCCTCGCCGAGCGCCTCCGCCAGCGCCGTACCTACAAACGTAGGCCGGCACCCCCAGTGCGGCAGGGCGCCGAAGGCGCGGAGCAGCGACTGGCCTGAGCCCAGCGCTCGGCCGCCGAACGCCGTGGGCGCGCTGGCACGCCCGCGGCGAACCAGGGCGGGGCCGCCATCCCGCGCCGCGGAGGGGAAAAGCCGCGGAGGAAGGGAGCAGGCCCGCGGGGGGGCGGCAGCCGCGGGCCGCCTAGCGCGGACTCGCAAGCCTCCGCGCCAGGCGGCGGCCAGAGCTGAGTTGGCGCTTGAGCCAAAATGGCTACGGAGCTGTGCCGTGTTGCCGTGGTCTGTCGTGCTGGTCTGCCGTGCTCCCGTAGCCTGCCGTGCCTGTCTGCCGCAGTTCCTGCGGTCTGCCCCGCGCTCTCTGGTACGGTACGGTATGGTGGGGCCTCAGAGGCAAAGGGAGCCGAACCGACCGGGGCGGCCACTGAGGCCCAGGGAGCGGCGGAGGCGGGCCAGCCGAAGGGCAGGACTACTGGTCCCACCCCGAAGGGGCCGCATCCCCCCCACCCCCAGGCAGGACCCACGCGAGAGCCCCCGGAACTCGCCAAGGGTCTCTGCCGACAACCTCGACAGGACTCCAACCCTTGCCGCATCCCTGGCAAGTAGACTCGAACACGGCGCAGCAGCAGAAACCATGAGGGCCAAAACGTGTGGAGGACATGCGAGGGGAAAAGCATGTTGCAGATGTCAGCGCGCACCCTGCTGTGGGGCGCGCTCCCAGAGCTCGAGTGGCCCTCGGGTTCGCACTGGCATGCTGCTGCTCACTCACGTCTTGCAGCGGCTGGTGCCGAAGTCCCGCCCACGCTGCCCCGCCAGCGGAAGCCCACTCTCCACTCCGCACGCTACTCACGCACGGAGGCCCACGGGCACCTCAGCCACTTCCGTCACGGTGGCCCCCGCGCTGGGGGAGCCCGAAAAGAATGTGACGCACCGACGAAACAACGGAATCCTTCTCTAAGGAGAGTCCGAGGCGGTCGACCACGGGGCAAGCCAGACACGCATGGCCGTTGCCTCTAAAAGCTAACCTCAATAACGTCATCCACTCCGAACCCAAGTCCTCCCCACCCCGAGCCTCTCTCTGATATTCGGCCAGCGCCTGGTCCTCAACTTCAGCTCCGCTTGAGCCGGGCTGCTGAAAAGGGCCTGCACTCCCTGCCGCAGGCGCATATGCCATCAAGCCTGTCGTGTCGCGAGGCCCCCCTGACGTTGAAACCTCGAGCTCAGCGAAGCACATACACAGTTCCTGGCCCAAGCAATGCGCGGCCGAGAAGGAGGATGAGGATGAGGACGATGATGATATGATGCTGATGCTGATGCTGACGCTGATGCTGACGCTGATGCTGACGATGACGATGACGACGACGAGGACGACGACGACGACGATGATGATGAGGAGGAGGAGGAGGAGGACGAGGAGGAGGAGAAGGAGCACTGCGAAGAGGAGGAGGAGGAGGACGAGAAACACGAGAAGGAGTATATACGGATGAGGACGGCGAGCAGCAGGAGGAGGATGAGGAGGAACAACAACAAAAGGACGAGTGCGATGAGGAGGTAGGACATGATGAGGATGAGGAAAACGACGAGGAGGACGAGGAGGATGGGGAGGAGGAGGAGGAGGATAATTGCGAGAAGGAGGAGGAGGAAGAGGAGGAGGTTGCAGGAGGAGGAGGAGGAGGAGGAGGAGGAGGAGGAGGAGGAGGTGGGGGGATCAGGAGGATCAGGATGAGGAGGAGGACGACGAGGAGAAGGAGGAGCGGGAGGAAGGAATGAGGGGGATGAGGAGGACGAGGAGGATGTGGTGGAATGGGGGGAGGGCGAGGGCGAGAAGGAGAATGACATGGATGCGGAGGAGGCCGACGACATCGACCATGACGATGACGAAAAGCTCGAGGATGACGCCGAAGGCGCATGCGGCTTAGGAGCAGGAGGACGCGCGAATACTCATAGGAACCACCTTCGCTCAGAAAGCGCTGTGTGGGGATACTGGGCTCTGACTGGAATTTTGAATTCGCACGCAATCGCCTGGCCAGCTGTGTTGGCTGTCACCTAGCTCTGCCCTGCCAACTTTAGGTCGGGCATGTCCCCCTACAGGCGGATCTTGGACGAACAAACTAATCAGACACATATTCAACAAATATTCAAACATACCTGCAAACTAGTCCCCAGACTATTTTGACAATTTTTGGATATATCCTGTCGAGGGACAGGCCCGACTCAATGCTAGCTAGATGTGTTCCCCAGCCGCGCCCTGCCGAAATTGCTTGACAATTCCAGCACTACGCATGGTACGCCGACTGATTCATCGGAACGTTGATCGTTGACTGGCCAGATTGCAGATCCTGCGATAACAGGAAGCTCAGCTGCCAAGGCCTCCTCCACCTTCCTCTCCTGGAAAAAGAACACAGCGCCATAATCATAAACTTTTGGCGCTCCGCGCGGATTTCTTGAATCTGCGCCGGGCCCCCCTCCCTGGCGCGCGGAGCGCGCCAGGGGCGGCGGCGGAGGCGCCGCTGGGGGGGCCCAGCGCAGAGCCAAGAAATCCGCGCGGAGCGCCAAAAGTTTATGTCTACGGCGTGTCCTCTTCTTCGATCTCCCTCGCCCCTCCACCCTCGGCCTGGCCGCGCCTGCCGTCAGCTGGCCAGCAGCCTGCGCGGCCGACGCCGGTCGTGCTGCGCTGCGGGCTCCTCTGGCTCCTCCCCGGGCGCCCCCGCACGCAGCGGGCCCTCGCAGCTCAGGGTGCAGGCGGCCCCGCTGGCCTCGGAGAGGCGCTGCACTCTCGCGCAGTCGCTCCGCAGCCGGTCGTGGTAGCACCCGAGCTCCTGGGCGCAGCGCACGACGCAGGCCATGCCGCTGCACACCTGCGAGAGGTCCTTCACCTCTCCAGGGGCCTAAGGACACACACTGACACACTGACACACTGACACCCGGACACACTGACACACACACACACACTGACACACACACACACACACTGACACACACACACACACACTGACACACACACACACTGACACACACACACACACTGACACACGCACTGGCACACACACACACAACACACAACACACAACACACAAGACACAACACACAACACACAAGACACAACACACAACACACATACACACAGACAGACAGACAGACAGACAGACAGACAGACAGACAGACAGGCAGGCAGGCAGGCAGACAGACAGACAGACAGACAGACAGACAGACAGACAGACAGACAGACAGACACACACACACATGAGTGCACACATGTGCCAGGATTTTCCCATATATTCCCAGAGCTTATCTGGGCTTCGTCTTCCCCCCCACACAATTCCCGTATCTTCGACTTTCTTTCTGGGATTGACGATCAGTTGTGCCCGTGCTTCTTCCCCTCCCGCACCTCTCGGGAGGCCCTCGCCTGCACCGCCTCCGCGACCTCCCGCGCCGAGCCGCCCGCGCCCCGGCACTCCTCCCGCGGGGACTCCTCCCGCCGGCGCCCGAAGGCCGCGCAGCTCAGCACGCACTCGCACACGGCGGCCCGCCCCCCGCGGCACTCCGCGCCCGGGCCCGCCTTCTCGGCTACATATGAGGAGCCGAACTCTATACACACCGACGCCTCTCTCTGGCCTCGCACTGCATCTCGCACAGGAGAGCGGAGCCTGGTCTATATACGGGATCCTGGTGTATACTTTCGTCCCGCTTCCCTGGGAAAACGGGAAGAAAGTATGCACCACACCACCCCAGCGTCGTCCTCGACCCTCAAGACAGTCCTGGGATTGAAAAACCGCCTGCCACTGGTAATGTATATGTTCCAGTTTCCGACTACACACTCTTCGGGGGGGCACAAAGGTGGGGTTCGGGCAAAGGTGGGGTTGGAAGGAAAATCGTTCCGAACGGCCCCCGGAAGAGAGAACCGCGGCAAACGGGAGCATCCAGCCGGGCCCGCTCCCCAGCCCCACTTTGGGATAACCCTCTCTCCAGGACCCCCCGAAAAGGAGCGACCCCAGGCAAGAGTGACCTCTGGTACGCGGCTCTCGAGGGGGGGGGGGAGGCCGAACCCGAGCGCGCAAACCGCTGCTATCGCATCGCATTCGTCGGCGGCGGGGCCAGGGGGGAAGCGAGAGGGGGCAGACCTTCTCGGACGGCTCGGAAGTTCCCCAGCATTCTGACACGTTTTCTGAGCCTTCCCCGCAGGGACAGAAAACCTCTCAGAAGGCCAGACGCCTTCTGAGAAGCCCCGCCGCCTTCCGAGAAGGCATTCTCCTTCTCACTTCCCCGCCTCGCTCGCCGCCGACACAAGTCCCTCCGACGAAAGGTAATCCCACCAGCCCTCTGGGCGTCGGTGGTTTAGGGCGTTTCCTCTTCCACCCCTCCCTCTTCCCCTTCGGGGAGGGGTTTACCCCTCCCCCTAATTACCTCCTCCCCGTGGACCTGGACGGGAGGGGCGGGGAGGTGTCAGGGCGTCCAAAACGGCCTCGGCGAGGAAGCCAACATCATTGATCTTACCAGGGTTTGGGCCCCATTTTGGCTTCCTGAGGGGGGGACGCTAATTAGTGCCCCCCCCTCCTGTGATCGATCTCCTCCACGATGGCCCCAAGAAGCGCCCAGGAGGCCCCAAGAGTGCCCCAAGATGGCCCCAAGAGGCCCCCAAGAGGCCCCCAGGAGGCCCCCAAGAGGATCCCAAGCGGCCCAAAGAGGCCCCCCCGAGGCACCCCAGACGCCGAAAAGCCCTTCAGGACGGCCCTCTACTCGCCTGGGCGTCGTTTCTGGATGGGCTGGTGGGGATACGCGAAGCGTCTAGAATTTGTACGTCTAGCTGACGCCTGCACACCGAGCGTGCCGTTGGGCGCCGGCTCGACAGGCTCGGCCAGCGGCAGGGGCGGGCTTCGGGCGCCCTGCGCACGGCCCGCTGCTGCGTAAGGCGCCGGGCGCAGCGACGCGACCCCGCCGCTCGGGCCCAGCAGCCGCTTCGCCAGCACCGCGGCGCCGCACAGCAAGGCGACGCACGCCGCGAGCGAGAGGGCCGTCAGGACCGCCACCTTTGGGGAGGCCACCGTGGTGCAGCCATCGTGCCACAATAGAGAGGGAAGCTGAAGAGGGAACGAGGGAGTTGTCCCGGCCACAGCGAGCCTCGGCCACGCAGATGTTCCCCTACCTGGATCTAAGAAGCGGCCCGAAAGCCACTGCTGAGCCAAGGTGGTCCTTATTTCAGAACCTTGACCGTATGATCGACGAACAGAGACGGGCTCGACGCGAGATGACATATCGAACTTCCGCGGTGGTTTACGCGGGCCACCAGCGCGGCACGCTACATAGGAAACGAGGGCGCTCACGCGCAGCTTTACGCGGGTAACTTACGCGCGAGTGTCGGCACCATCGGCCCCAGTTCCTTCCGTTGTTCATATGGGGCTGGAGCAGATTGGTCGGAGGACCGAGTCACGTTGCTGATGCGCACCGGCGATGTATCGGCGGCGTCGGGGTGGACACAACTCTGGCTCCTGAGCGCGCCCCATCGCCGACGTATCGGCAATGCGGCGCCGGATCCCGTTTACGGGGAAACGCAAAGAGACCGATACCGCTGCTCCCCAGACCACTCCCGGGGTGCGTTCTGACCAGAATGCCGACGCGAATCCAGCCGTGGCGACGAGGGGAAGGACAGCGGCATGGGTATGTTCTCCCCCTTCTGACCCTGAGATCCGACGTTGCGAAATGATGCAACAACAGCGCGACAAAGAAAGTTCAGAGCCTCAGCCTCAGACCCCGTCTTTCTGCTGCACCTTTCCTGCCCGATCGATCTGTGAGCATCGTTTAACCGATCCCTATCCCCTCTGGCGTGGCCTGGGCCCGATAGCTGGTGGGGCTTTGGTGCTGGGGCCCAGTGGGTATGGGGATCGGGTAGGGGCGCAGCGGTGGGGGGGGGGCGGCACCAGAGCGCGCAACCCCAGCCCTTCCCGGTCCTGGCGCACGCTCCGTCCAGAGACATTTGGAAGCGACGATAAGGGCGAATAGCCCAAGGGAAAGCAACACATGCATCCAGGGGCGCCGATGGTCCGTGTCTTCGGCGAGGCTCCCGGGCGGATACGTGTAGTGCACGCCCCGAGAGGGAGAGAAAGAGAGAGAGAGAGGAGGAACTTCACTCCATTTGACTTGGTTTTTAATATTGCAACAAGCTATCTTCCACCACGGACCGCGGACTGTACACATTCGAAACCACTCACGCGAGCACGCGCATATATCTACCACACACGTGCATCCATAGCACGTGCACATACCAACCTACAACGCATATCAGCATGTCCGCACACAAGCACGCGCACATACACCGAATACCTTCCATCGACATTCAAAGAAACCCAGTAGAACGCGACGGAGTCCGCAGTGAGTTTTCAATTCGACGCGCCAGTGATTTGTCTGCAAGCGATTCCACGCGGATTCGATTGGCAGTGGTCGCATGGACCACTGTGCTTGTATGTCTTCACTCGCGGACAAACCCACGCAAGCGCAAGTCGCTGCAGAAGAGAATTGTTGTTGTTTCCCGCATGTCTCCATGGCCGCTAGAGAAGACCTGCTCATACGCGTCTGATCTTGGTGGCAACGGTCGCGAGAACTGCGCTCGACCTGCTGTTGGGCCTCTTCCGCACCGCTGTCTCGTTCTCGTTGACATTCGCACAGGTTCGCAGCGCTATCTCGTGGGGCGGCGTAGGCGCTTGCAGTCGTGAAGTATGCGCGCGGTCTATGCAATTGCGCGAGCGAGAAAATGCTTTGCGGGGATGCGGTGCGCACGCGCACAGAGGATCACAAAAGGGGTCCTTTTGACGGATTGCAGCAGGATTGGGGGTTACACAAGGATCCCTTTCTGGCGGATTACAGAAGAATCACTTGGTTATGGACTACCCAAAACAAATCCCTTATGCGGCGGATTGCATGCGAGATCAGTTTGTGGGAATTGCAACAATTCGGGGCCCGAGGGAATACCAGCCGGCAAAAGTAACACAAACAAACAAGTCAAAAACAACGCAAACACAACAACAAGAACAACTGATAGTCTCTACGATTCCTGGACTTTCAATGGGAATCCGTCAGAAATAAAGTGTGCCCGTCACCGACGGAATTCATGTATAATCCTCCTCAAAAAAAATCCTGCTGCAATCCTCCACAAACGGAATCCGTTTGGAATACCCACAGAAGGACTTTCTTGTGTCACCCCTCAAGGGAAGGAATCCTTCTGTAATCCGCAACACAAGGATTCCTTGTGGCGGACGCACAAGATGACCAAGGGCCCAGGGAGAGGCCAGCCAAAACAAGCAAACCCAAAAAATAGCAAGAGCCAAGCAACACAGAACCAAACAAGAACTGATACTCTCTACTATACCGCAAAGTACAACCATAATGCAACTCGCTTTGTTTGAATGGTGTTTGTAACGTGCGGAATCATAACAACTAACATATGTGATTTGTTTTGATTTGTTTTTGTCTTGATGTTTTGCTGTGTGATTTTTGTTTTGGCTGGCAACTCCTTGGGCCCTCGGTCATCTTGTGCATCTGTCACCAAAGGAATCCTTGTGTGGCGGATTACCCACGGGCTCCTGTTGTGGAGAATTGCAAACGGATTCCTTTTGTGGAGAATAGCACAGGGATTTCTTCTGTGACTAACACAATTGATTGAACTATAGTCTGATAGAAAATTGAGGAACCGTAGAGAGTATCAGTTTTTGTGTGTTTTTCTGTTGCGTTTTTTTGTTGTTTTTTTGGCTGGGCCCCCCTTGGCCATGGTTTGCCTAGTGCGCCCGCCACACATGACATCCTTTTGTGGCGAATATCAAAAGGACTCCTCTGGTAAAGGGTTACGTAGGGCTTCTTTTTGTGGCAGATTATCAGAGAATTCCTTTTGTGGAGGATTGCAGCAGACTCCTTTTCGTGGCGGACGAGAGTAGAACGTATGAGGCACTCCTTCGAAACACCTCCGCGAGCCTATCTCTTCCAGGGCGCTCTGCATGATCAGAACCCGAGCGCGTCAAATAGATTGAAGCGTCCCCCCTCTGCTCGCCTCTCACCTATTCGCCCCCATTTGGGCGCCCGGGTTATCCGGGGTAACTCGGGTCCAGGGTAACTCGGGTTCGGATTCCCGAACACACGAACCCGAGTTAGCCCTGACCCGAGCTACCCCTGATGATGTGGGGCTCTGGACGCCCGAGTTATCCGGGGCAGCTCGGGCCCGGGGTGCCTCGGGTTCGGAGTCCCGAAAAAGGAACCCGCGTTGGCCCTGACCCGAGCTACCCCGGATGCTTGCTTCGGGGCTCTGAGAGACCTCCGCGCCGCCGACCCTCGGCGCTCCGACCCCGAGGCACCCCCCTTTGGTGGCGGTGGGCATATGCGGGCCCGGCCGGGCCCTCGGGCGGGCGGGCAGCAGCCCCGCAGGCACAGTCGGGGCGTTGACCGAAGTAAGGGACCCTACATAAGGAGCGAGGCCCCTTTTCCGCTTGCCTCTTCCGTTCCTCCCTTCTCTTCCTCCTCGTGTTTATAGCCATGTCGGCACCGCCCGCCAGCCGAGGCACCTCTTTCCACCGCCTCTTTTTTTTTCTCCTGTCTGTAGTCATGTTGTACCAACCGCCCCGCTATATATCGGAAGCGCTGCTGTCCCTCTCCGCTGAAGCGGCCCCGCTTGCGTCGTGCCTGTCGCCCTCCTGCTGTCGGCCTTGTGTCGGCGCTAATCACCAGCGCCGTCGCCGTCGCCGTGCGTTTCAATTCGTCGGGCGCCCCCCCATGGAACCCATCAGTTCAACCTCGATATCCCATGGAAAACCTCAGGAAAACCCGAGACAAACTCTGAAACAATCAAGGGACACCGAGCCCCTCCCCAACGAAAAGGGTTCCTGCTTCAGCGCCCCGACTGTACGCACCCGCGCGCGCCCCCCGGGGCCCCACGGCGCAGGGCCCAAGCGGCCGGGCGAAGGCGCCCGGCGCTCAAAGGCAGCGACAGCGCAGGGTGACGCCAGAGCGAGGAGCACACGGCGGGTGAGCGAAGATCAAGAACTCTGACGAACGAACGACACACACCCATACCCATAGGGAGGTCGTTGGGAGGAGGACTGGGTCTGAGTATGGGTGCGGGTTGTCGGACCCTGGGGAACGCTCCCGTTCGAGCGGGGACCCCCATCCGACAACACGCACCCATAGCCCTCTCCGATCCCCCTATGGGATGGGTGTGTGTTGTTGGTTCGTCAAACTCGTCTTGCGCGAGTTGGCGTAGCGACCTTACGCGGCTGCTTAGTGCGGGCCGCCCGCGCGGCACGCCAACATGGAGACGAGGGTGCTTGCGCGCGATTTTGCGCGAGCAGCTTAAGCGCCAGTGTCGGCGCGGACGAGGACTAACATCGACTGGGGCATCGACTACAAAAGTGATTTACCTCTGACTCTTTTTGCCGTCGAAGCTACGAGAGAGGCGTAGGAAGCTCTGTAGATCTACGGAGCACTCTACGTATCTGTTCTCGATTCGCTGGGAAATTCTTCTTCGGGGCAGTCAACTCTGTAGTCGATCTCCTTTCAGAAGAATCAAGAGAAGATGGATCGAGAATTTCTGAGATCCGGCGGCTCTGGAGGGTGTCTCTGGCGCCGCGGCCCTCCCGGAGCATTCTGGAAGGCTCCGAGAGCGTTCCAGAAAGCCTTGAAGGCTCCGAGAGCGTTCCAGAAAGCTCCGGGACGACGCCATGATCTTTTCTCACGACGGCGACCCCCAGAGGTCACGACCCGTTCCCTGGGACCGGTTTTCCGTCCCGAGCCGTTTTGCTGACGGCCCCGAGGCTCGGTGCAGTGGGGGCTCGGCCACAAGAAACCTCCGCCAAAAACCCAACCCTGAAATCCGCGATTTGTTCCGTGAAAATCCACACGTGTCGCTCGAAGATCGTCAAGATCTGACTGGGGGCCCCTCGAAATCCGAGGAACCCAGGGCGCCCTGGCAAAATCCAGCTGCTTTCTTGGCACGCGCCCCCACTGTAAGCTTGGACGTCCGAAATGGGCACGGCAAAAATGGGTACAGTGCCCAACCGCAAACGTTGGCCCCAAACCGGCAGCGGCCGCTGTTTGGGCAGGCGGCCTCCTGCCTCGAGTGGACACAACAGGCCGCGGCGGCGTGGACAGCGAGTCCTGTTCAAGAGTGAACTGCTGTTGGGCGTTTTTTTTTGACTGCAACGTTCATGCCCCTGCACAGTCAGCTAGAGGCGCACTGAAGGCAAGGCAGAAGTACGTGATGAGCAAGCCCAGGAGCAGGATGAACAGGAAGTTGCACCCGACCAGGAAAAGCACAAACACGAGGAAGAACTTCGGCACCACGCGTGGCCCATTGCGGGCGTCCAAAGTGAGGGCCCCGAGGGGCCGAACGCCTGGAGAACACCTGCCCGCCGTGCCTCGTCCGCGAGCCGACGGGGGCCCCGGGCCGACGGCGCCCGCACCCGTCGCGGGCACCTCTGCGCGGCCCCGGGGCCTCCGAGAGAGGGGGCCCAGGAGAGCGCAGCTCCACATAGACGCGACTCCCAGGCTGCCCCCCCGCACTTCCCCATGCACTCTTGGGGGGGGGGGCTTTCGCCCTCCCCCCTCCCCGCCTCCTCCCATATGTTCTCCAGGGAGGCGACGGCGAGTTTTGTGTCCCTGTGTCCCTGTGTGTGTGTGTGTGTCCCTGTGTGTGTGTCGCTCGTACTCAAGGAGGGTCCACACGGGCGCCGCAGAGACCTACGGAGCCTCCCGAGTCCTTGTGAGCTCGACGAGAGCGAGTGCAGCACGTCGAATTTTTGTGTGTATGTGTGTATGTGTGCGTGCGTGCGTGCGTGCGTGCGTGTGTGTGTGTGTGTGTGTGTGTGTGTGTGTGTGTGTGTGTGTGTGTGTGTGTGTGTGTGTGTGTGTGCGTGTGCGCTTTCGCCCTCCTGGGGCCTTGCAGGGCGGCGGCCTCCCCGCGTCCCGGCTGCTCCTCACCTCCCGCCCGGTGCGCGGGTCCTCCAGGGCCTCCGGCGCCTCGTGCTGCATGCCGCCCCTCCCCTCGGAGCTTGAGCCGCGGGGGGGGGGGGCCCGCGCGGGCGCGCCGAGAGGGGGGCCCCGGGCTCGCGCCCGCGGGGGGGGCCTCGGGCCAGAGCGGCCGCGCGGGCGCCGTGCGGCTCGTCTCCCCGAGGCCTCCTCGTTACCATCGGACCCGGGGCAGTTCCTGGAGCCCCCAAAAATTCTAAGAACAACGACGATGATCTGAGAACATGCGCCCGGTGTGTGTGAAGAAAACAACCCTGACTCCGGATCCGCCCTACTTTGGTGAACTTCGTATGTGGGGCTTGGAATTTCCGCCTTACTTTTCAAGCCCTGCTGATGCCAATTTCCGCCCTACTTTTCTGTTGCTGTTTCTCTGGATTTCCGCCCTATTTTATGTTGGGTGCAGCAATTTCCGCCCTACTTGTTCGGCCTCTTATAGGTGGATTTCCGACGCAATTCTAAGTTGGAAAAAAAAGCCAAAGTAGGGCGGATACGGAGTCAGGGAAGACACTCCCAGCCAAAAAAGTGTTCTAAGAACAGCTCGTGGAAACCACAAAAGGTTCTCAGAACATTGCTTGGTGAGGCTATCAGGCACGCCAGGACGCTTCGCCACTGCTTGAGCCTGCGAGGCGGCCCGCCTCGCGCCCGGGGGGGCCTCGAGCCAGAGCGGCCGCACGGGCGCCGTGCGGCTCGCCTCCCCCGAGGCCTCCTCGTTAATTACCATCGGACCCGGGAGCCTCGATACCGTCCCAGCGTTCCTATAGTCGTACCACGAGATGTTCCTAGAGCCCCCAAAAAATCTAAGAACAAAGACAATGTCTGAGAACATGCACCCGATGTGTGAAGAAAACAAGACACTCCCAGCCAAACATGGTCTAAGAACAGCTCGTGGAAACCACAAGAGGCTCTCAGAACACTGCCTGGTGAGGCTATCAGGCACGCCAGGACGCTTCGCCACTGCTTGAGCCCGCGAGGCGGTGGGCGAGGCGGGGCCGGCCATGGGCCCGGCCCGCCCTCGCCGCGGAGAGGCCGCCGGGGCCGCGCCTTCCCGGCACTTGCCGTCGCTCGGGCGCCCATTTCCCGTGCCTTTTTCGGTTTCGTGCGCGCTTCTTTGAAGGAGCCCTGGGACACACAAATAAATACACACAAATAAAATGTTTCCCCATATTTTCCCATATTTTCTGGGTTTTTGTCTTCCCGCCCAATTCCCATATTTTCCTATATTTTCCTGGGACTCGGCGATTAATTGTGTCTGTGTGTTTCTTTCCCTCCTGATTCTTGTTGCTCGATGGTCCAGGATGGTCCTCGATGGCGTGCGGCTCGTCTCCCCGAGGCCTCCTCGTTAGCATCGGGCCTGGGGCAGAAGCTTGCCGTCGCTCGGGCGTCCGTTTCCCGTGCCTGTTTCGGTTTCGTGCGTGTTTTTTTTGTTGCTCGATGGTCCAGGATGGTCCTCGATGGTTCTCGCCGAGAAAAAATGCACACGTCCGAGCGATGCCAAGGGCGGGAGAGAGGCGGAGGAGGATCGGCGGCCAGCCGGGGGGGATGTTCGAGAAGGGGATCGACTGCGGTTAACTGAGTTGCCCCAAACCTGTTTTTTCTCGTCGGGGCTACGAGCGATATGCGCATACCTCGTGCTCGTCGATCTGCGATCACTCTGTGCACTGCGCGTAGATTCGGCAACACACAACTGTGGGGTAATCGGGCAGAGGGAAACAATTAGTGAACACCCCCCCTGCCCCCCTAAACTCAAAATTGGCACGCGCGGGGGAGACTGCGGTCGAGGTGTAACCCATCAGACCCACCGCCCACTTTGAACATTGGGGGGAGGGGGAGGCGTTCACAGATGAATGTGGCAGGAGTGTTAACTTTTTTTTTCCCAGGCCCGTCTGCAGGGGGTGCAGGCCTTCTCGGAGGGCAGCAGGGCTGCGCAGAACCCCCCGCGCCTCGCGTGAAGTCTCCGAGGCCTTCTCCGAAGCCGCCAGGCGGTTTCTCAGCAGGCGCGCGAGGGCTTCTGAGACTCCGCGGGCGAAGCACAGCACAACATGCACACTGTCGCCGCTGGGGGCGCCTGTCCCAGGGCGGCTAGAAAGTTGATGCCCCTACGCTGGCACGTCAGGGTGTGTGTAAATATATACACACACGTATTTATAAATAGTATATCGTGTATAGATATAGTATATCGTAGATCAAGAGGATATGAGTATACAGATATAAATATAGCACCTTCCGGCCGCCCTGGGGCAATCGCCCCTGGTGACGGAAAGGCTGATCTGTATGCCGCTCTTCGCCCGCGAGGAGATGCCCCGCCGCCTTCTCCGAGGAGGCCTGCCCTCTCTCACACTCCCCCGCACCACGGGCTCGCCGCCGTGAGGAGAGGGGAGCTCAGGAAGCAACGCCTGTCGACGCGCGAGTTCCACTACTCGCAAAACATCGGGGGCGGCCAGGAGGGGGGCGTCCAAGAGGGGGGGGTGCAAATCGTGGCCCACGCCATGATTTGCACCGTCGCCCTCCGCGTGGCGTGCACAAGATCATGGCACACGCCATGATATCCACCCCCCCTAGTCATCACCCCCTCCTCTCCGCCCCCGAAGATAACGACTCGCAAATGGCCTGGATCCCCTGCCAGGGATCTGCGATCCATTACATCAAAGCAGGCAGGTGTTTCTTCGGACGTTTGCGAGTAGGCATTTTGCTAGCAGTGGAGCGCGCTCGGCGAGCCTGGGAGGTCTTCGCGAGAACGAGTCCTGAAGTGGTCCTTATGTCAGCGCTTTGACTGCATACCAATGCCATTACACCTCCTAGGAGGGCGCACCCCGAAGGGGAGGGACGAATGTCGATCCTGCTCTTTCCCATCTCACCTCCATCTTGCTCAACGTGAGGGGCTGACGGGCGCGGCCAGTCGGGTGAGCAGAGAGCAGCATGTCAAGGGAACAGACGTGGATTTGGACATTCGAGGTGCGGAGCCCACCCTCGATCCCTCTGGAACAGGACAGGAAGAGGGACAAGAATGGGGAGGAGAGGGGGAACTTCCCCCTCTCCTCCCACGCCTGGAAGTGGAAGGGAAGCGTGATCCCGAAGAGCCCACCCCACCCCTCTGTGACTGCACGGGGGGCCTCGTCGCACGTGAGCACGTGGCCGAACCGCAGCTTCACCATGCCGCCAGGGGAGAGGCGCTTGAACCCCTCGGAGGGGACCTCCATGAAATCCTTCGGGCGCGGGGCCGACGGGAGTGCACGAATCAGGAGGGGGGAGGGGGAGCAGGGCAACGAGGGCTTCCAGCAAGAGCGCGAGGAGGAGGAGGAGGAGGAGGAGGAGGAGGAGGAGGAGGAGGAGGAGGAGGAGGAGGAGGAGTAGGCGGAGGAGAACGGAGAGGAGGAGCAGGAGGCGATACCCTGGGCGAACGTGACCTGTGATGCGCGGCTTGGGGCGGGGGGGCCGCATGTGCTGTCTATCGTTGAGGGATCTCCAGTGCCCCACAGCTTCTGTTGGTCCCTAGGGCCATCGGGCGGCAAGGAACTTCCGTGGGGCCCGCGCTGACAGGCCAATTTCTCAATTGAGTCGCCTGCTGTAGCCGGCTCCGTCCCTGCCCACCCCCCCGTCCCAGGGCAGTGCTGGTCCTCGCTCTCCAAGAACAGCTCCCGCCCCATTGTCAACTGCCTGATGGGCAACCCCTCCTCCGCTGGCACCTGTCGGGTCGGGGGGGGACCCTCCGCGCGAAATCAGCCTGACGCTCGTGAAGCGTGTTGGGGAGGATTGTAAACCAGGACGGCGAAACAGAACTGTTGGCTGGGGGCGGGCAAGAAGGGAATCAATACAGCGTCGTGAAGAAGAGCGTAGGGGGGTGGCGGGAGGGGGGACATGTCACGGCAAGAAGCGCAGCGTGACGCTGGGGATGTGTACATCGGGGGAGAAAGCCGGAGCTCCAGCGTGTCGAAGAGAACGTGTAGACTGCGTAAGGATCGATCGGGTAGGAGCACGAGGCAGGCGGGGGAAGAGTGCGTAAGAAGCACGGGGGAAAGCAGGTCAGCGAGGGAGGAATGGGGGAGGACGACAGGAGACGAGGCCGGGAAGAGGGCGCAGCTGAGGGAGGAGGGAGACGGGAGGCAGGGAGGGGGGCGCGAGGGAGGGAGGCAGGGAGAGAGGAGGAGGAGAGAGGAGGAGGAGGATTCCTGGGATTCCTGGTGGCGGGCTCCTGAGTGCAAGCTCAGCCCCTACATCCCATTCACGCCTCAGGGAAACTCATGCCATATTTAGGCGGGAGACCCCTCCGCAGCCTGCTGAGATTCTGCTTCCCTGTGGTGCTACAGGGCCTGGGGTGCGCCTGGTCGCGCAGGGGGCAGATCACAGCAAGATTCACTGGGGTCCCTACACAAAAATTTCCACATGCAGCACAAAATAAAACTCCTCGAAACACATGCAACTGGTGTGAGGAGTGGCACAGGGGAACGCTCGGATGGTGACCACCATCTGACCCGACAGGCCTCCACGGACCGATCCCAGCAGAGGGCCCATCCCTCGAAGCGGGACCCAACACCACAGGGCCGTGACAGGCCTCTGGCCAAAATTGATCCAAGCGACCCTTCAAAGCAGGGAAACGTCTCGCACATAACTTACATTTAAAAACAGTACTCGTCTTCAGGACAACATGCCCTTGCTGGACGAGGCGGGCTTTACGTTGGCTGGCACTATTAATTCTAGCCTTCTCTTTGTGTTGCTCACGGCCTAGTCTATCCTGGCGGGTACGACCACAAGTCAACGACACGTGACGACTGATAGCTAGGAGCCGCTGCAACACGAGGCCACAACATGAATCAACACTACGCACTGTTCTGACTAATTCAGGATCTAAGGCCCCCCATTCGGCAGCCACCCCAGCGAATACATCTGCAACCGAATTAGCAACAAGGCCGTGAGGAGAGATCTGGTACTGCTCGATCTGGCTCCTGGTAGGATGACTTTTAACCCATGTCGCACGTGCATCACCTGGTCGCATTTCAAGAGTGGTCCAAACTTTTTGCCATAAGTCCAGCATGGAAGAGTCATCCACACGTGCTCCCTTTCTTCTGAAGGCCAAGACAATAGGCTGGTAATCAATGTAAACATGAATTGGGCCCTCGGTGTACACCAAGAGCTGATGAAGTGCAAACAGTTCTGCTCGAGGAGAGCTCTGCACACACATACCAACAGTAGGTAGGGTACCACAAAGGATACCTCGAACTTCAAGCGAATCGGGGTCCAGGTGAACAACTGACCAACCGCATCTCCTCAACCTCCAATCCTTGCCATGTTCTCCTCCGGACCCGTCGGTCCCAACACTCCTCCGACGATTTTAACTCCAGAACTGATGGACTCCAAAAACGATCCCCAGGCCCAGACACGAAGTTGCCTATCAGGAAGGTCATCCAGCGTCCAGCCCATGGGGACCAACCCTCGGGTCCAAAAACAGGAAGCGTCACTGGCCCCCTGGCGGGCATCATCGGCAAACCTATCAGTGAGTCGGATCGCAGAATCCTCGATATTTTTATTGTCATCACACTCCCAAAACCGGTGGAAGGGGGTCTCAGGGGCCAAACCACACCTGGGACACACTCCGTTGCTTTCATACCCCGAGTCTTTTAATCTCATTTCAGGCCACTGCCCACCTATGATCAAGTTGGTGAGCAATGCAGCTCCTTCTCCATCACCGTTCTTTTTCAAAGAGGCGTGGAGCTGCTTAAAGACTGTAAAATCAACACCTCCACGGAGTCCTTCTCCACAGAAGTGACCAGCAGCTCGTTGCCAAACTTCGCGCGAAACTGCAAGAAAGACTGCGTGCCACAAGAAAAATCTGAAATCTCCCGAATCTGCTTTCACATGATATGGCCCAGGGAACTTCCAGGATATGGGGGATTCAGGGCGCCCATGGAGGTCCAGGATACAAACAATAACCGCAGCAATAGGTCCCCTAACTCGTCGCCATCGGGAGGTCGGGTCGATTCCATTGAACCTGTTCACGAGGTTGTTCCAGACATTGTTAATACTCATCTTCTGCTTTGGCATCAGGGCGGTCCAGGTTCTCCCCCACTCGAGAAGGTGTTCATAACGAAGTCTAAACCCAGGGTCATCTCGCATCGGATTATTGATCGATAAAATCGTAGTGGAGCATGCACCTGAAGCCCACAAGCCTGATGCTTTAGCAGCTTGACCTCGAAGCCGCTGTACAAGGGAAGGCGGGAGGCCAAGCACTTGGTGACTCCAAGTTGAAACAGCCTGCACAGCTGGCTTAAACAAGCGCTTCGCCTTTTTATTAATGCCAGCCAGGAAGGACAACTTTTTGGAGCGTCGGGTACCCTCAGCCTGCCGTTGTTTCATCTTCCACATGGTCCTCCTCCTTCCTGCCGTAGTAGCAACGCCTAAATCTTTAGTAGTATCTCTCACCGTCAGAGGGAGCCCAAGATTAATACATTTCTGGTGCACGATCCTAGTCAAACCAACGCTAGAGCCCACGATACATGACTTAGACGAAATAACACAGCCTCTATCAACAAGAGCTTGGTGCAACTCAACAATAGCTGGGACAATAGTATGAGCAACAGCCTCGGCACGCCCTTGAAGGGATTGGGTTAAGTCATCAACGTACGCAAAGATGGGGACTCTCGGGATCCTCTGGTGGGCTGTTTCCAAAATATCATACAGGTAACATTTAATCCACGGCATAGACTGGGAACACCCTGCCAGGATAGACTGTCCTGCTCCAAGGACGCGAGACACTACAGACTCCACCTCGAGCACCCTGGGGGCCGTGTGGATCAGCAGCCCCATGTACAGCATGAGGGCGGAATAATCGACCTCTCTGGCAAGCCTGACCAACTTAGATGGGTCGATAGAATCAAAAAATTTTTCCATATCCCAGTGGGCCGAAAGGGACTGACATCCTTCCTCACGGGCAATTTCGTGGACCAGCTCGCGGACCATGGCCGCTCTCAGGGCCGAGGAGTTTTTAACAGCAGTATCCCAAAACGCCACATGAGAATCGGTCCAGTCCAAAATACGGTCACCCCTGAGTTTGGTATACATCCTATACAAGGTGGGGCATTTGGTGATAGGCCGTTCCGTGCTCACGGTCTTAGGGATAAGGGCCACAAGACACAAGTAGGCCTGAACAGGGAAACTCTGGGTGTATTCGAACGCATTGAAAAGGTCACTCAGATCCTGCAACGCTTCTGGCGGCAGCTGCGAAATGTCCTTAGGCGACCAACTGTCGACTCCAAGGCTAGTTCCTGCAGGGAAATACTTGCAAACTCGCATTACATCATGCGGTTGGATGGGGATTAAACCAGTGGCCTCAACGGCCGCCTCGTGTCGGAGCTGACCCATGCTATACACGAGGGATTCGATTTGACTACTTGATGGGGTCCACCACTTCTCCCAAAACAGCTCTCGCACTTCAAGCATCTCGGTGGGGGATTGGGCCACTTTACCTTGATCAATGAGGAATTCAACCTCCTGCTTAGAACCGTGCTTCAACCACCGATGGATGGGTCTGGCTCCCCCTTCGAGGCCCTCAGACAACCACTTCTTAATGCAACCCTGACCAGCTTCTCGAGCCTGCGTCCACGCACGACGAAGGATGGGTTCCAACCCTTCCTGCATAACATCAACGGCGATAGGGTCAAGGGGGGGGTCCTTCAGACGTTCAGCCCAAACCTGGGCCTGCCTGGCGTTCACCAGGGCGGTGATGTGCTGGCCGACCTCGTCAGCTCGTTGAATTAGGACATTCCTGAGGGCGGAGAGGCGCCGAGTTCCTCCTCGCTTCAGGGCAACTTTCAAATCAAACAGCCTGGAGGAAACAAAAGACCAAAAGGCAAGAGTCGGGCACGCAAAGCCTTGCCGAAGGGGACCCCTCCTGCCAAGTTTTCCCAATCGAAACTGGACTCCATGACCTCTTTGTCCCCCAGGGGACTCTTGACAGGACCGAGACAACATCAGGTTTTCGGCAGCAACTGACCATTTTTGATACCCCTCAGACAGCGGTCCTGGAGGCCCAGCTCCATGAAAGGGAAGGAATGCCGAACGAACTTCGGCAGGAACAGAGACTTGCTGGCGGGGAACTCGATGCAAGTGCACTTGCCATGGCAGGTCAGGCCCAACGGCAGGAACGAAGCGTGGTGGTTTGTCCCGCTTACATACAGGAATCGATAGGATATTAAGTGGGAGGTGGACATGTAAACATGCATGGGTCTTGAAACCCGAGGTAAGATCAGCATTCATGGAAACATACGGCCGAAGGGAACGAGATATCACTCCATAATCAATCATCGAACCAAAGCCTTTATCACATGTGAAGTCGACATTCATGGGTTCAACCACCACGCCATTAACAAGCTCACAAAATCCGCACTCATGCAGATCAACGGCAGGCATATTGAAATCACCAAGCAGGAGGAACGGGGTGTTAATCATGCGCAAGAAATCAGTCACTTGCTGCAAACGCTTCAAATTGTCACCGACGAGACCCAAATCAGAAATGAGATAGATAACCCCAATAGCCATAGACACTCCATGAGTCTTCAACTCAAGGAAGAACCAACATTCTCCCGATCCAAATTCCTGGGCACCTCCAAGAGCCGACCGAAGATATTTCTTACAATAGAATCCTTTTTGAACGACTCCTCCAACTCCCCCATGGGTACCTCCTCCTGGACTA